GGTTTGAAAATTAAAACCCTTAGACAATTAAAAGTTTAAAACTTTAATTCGAGTAAGAATTATTAGAGAAGATGCACTTCTTAATATATGTATAGAATCAAGAAAAAAAAGGCGGGAAAAAATAGGTCTCCCTATGTACTGTAATGGATGCAATAACAAGAAAATTCCCTTAATAGAATTTTATTGTCCCTAATAGAGGTCGACTGCCTGTCAACTTCCTTCTTTACTCCTATAAGTCCTTTAAAGATCAAATTATTTACGTGTACACGCAATAGATTTGATTTAATGTAAAATTACAATTTGCCCTTTTATATTCAACTTTATTAGGATTTTCATTAAAAAGTACCTATTAATATATGGGTACAGTAGTTAAGTATATGCAGTGCATGGATGTGATACAAGAAAATTCCGCTAATAAAATTTTATTGTCCTTGATACAGATATGCATAATGTCCGTTTATTCCCCTGATTTCCTTTCGGAGTCCTTTGAACATCAAATTAACATGTCCGTCATCATTATGCACAAAATCTTGTTTAACATAATGGCCTATTCTGCAATTTATTATTTGTGAGAATTGAATTGGAATTAATGTCAATTTTCATTATATGTAGGAATCTTCTTCGATTTCTTTTCGTTAGAAAGATGAAAATCATTTATTATTGCACAACATAAGAATTTGTGATGTATCTACTGCGTAATAAAAATAGTTTAAATGTTATGGGTACTTATCGAGTAATGACGATGATAATATCTGCTAGGATAAACAATATAGGACTATGCATTTTGCAGCAATGGCAAAACTTTTGAATTACATTCAAATATTTTTTAGATCCCATGAAAGATCGAAAAATTTGTGGTCGTCCAACATGTAAAGGTAAAAAAATATTTTAATCTAAATTTCCAATCAATAGTTAAATTTTGAATTGTATTTACGATTTTATTTATTTAGCTAAGTATAGATACATATAATAAAATTGTAAATACCCATTTGGAAAAAAATGACAATTGGTTGGAGGGGGAGGGTTTGTTAAAGAATAAATGATAGAATTATAAAACCAAGAGAAATGTCAGTAATTTCTCCGATATTCGCTATAATAATTAGAGTCAATTGAATTTATTCATGATTTTAGGTCAACGAAAATTTAAATATTTACAAGGAAGCAGATATACATATGAATATACAACAGATGCGAAAACTTTTTCGGAAGACAGTGTTAACAGTAATAAATCAATAATTTCTGTAAAAGGCGAAGTTGGTATAGTTTTCATCACGGAATGCGATGCTCTGTTGGAGTTATCAAAATTTAAATTCAGCGATAAAGAGTTGTCAAAAGATTTAGAAAACGAGGATGATAATGCCAGTACCGAATTATTTTCTGAGGCACTTTCGAAAAACTCCTTAAGATTTTCGTTCAACGATGGCGTAATATCGGAGGTGTGTCCTGATGAAAGTGAGGAAAGCTGGGTTCTAAATTTTAAAAAAGGGATTTTGTCTATGATTTACAACGACATGCGCAGATTTGATTTGGATTATACCGGATTCGAAGATGATATTCACGGAAAATGCCAAGCATCTTACAAACTACAAAAAGCCCGCGATTCCATCTTAGTCGTTGAGAAAAGTAGAGATTTCTCATCCTGCCAAGGACGATCACAACTCCATTCCAGTTTACAATCTACTCCTTATTATCACAAAACAGTAAGAAAAAAATACAGATCTTAGGGGGTGTCGAAAAAAAAAAAAACAAATTTCAAGACAAATTGCAAAAGGCAAAAATATTGTTTCATTCAAATTGCTGAATTTGGACTTACATAAAAAACAAAAGTATTATCCAAAATTTAACAGTATCCTAAGGATAAAATTTGACAATTAAAATAGACGGTATCTATCTATGTAAAGTCAATTCTTGTTTACGTTGCAGAAACAACATCGTGCAAATTTATTAAAGTCATCTAGCACCTGTGAACTTGCTATAGACAACCGTATTTATGATAACATCAAATGCAAGGAAGTCCACATTTTCCAACCGTTTTCAAGTAAAACTGCATATGCTACAACGCTTGTCGAACAGAATTTGAATTTTGTTTCGGAATCAAAAGAAGAAATTAGCGTGGACGATCTAAGTCTCATAAATAGAAGGCAGACTTTGCTTTTCGATCATAAGACTACCGCTCGACTATCTTTAGACGGTTTGAAAACTGTTAGAAATCTAGTACAGACCCTCTGTAAATTGAACAGTCAAGATGTACAAACGGAATATGCCGAAACTTTTTCTACTTTGATTCGTCAAAGTAGAACCCTAAATTACGGAGGACTATCATCTCTGTTAAGACATGCAAACATTAGATGTCACAATGGAAAGTAAGAAATAAAAAATATATAATTTGGCTGTGGACAAAATTTAAAATATTTTTACAGGAAGTTTATCCTTGACGCTCTCCCATATTTAGGAAGTGACGCTGCTGTAGAAGTTATGAAGGATGTGGCATTAAAAAACGATATTTCTGATGATACTCTCAGATCGTGGATAGTAACTACAAGTTTTCTACCAAATCCTTCAACAACGATGCTTCGTGCAATGCATGAGGTATTGAATGCGAAAATTGACGATTCTGTTGTAGTTTTAGGGATTTCCGCACTTGTTCGCACATACTGTGTTCAAAATTCGAACTGTTTATTGAAAGAAACTCCCAACGACATCGTCAATTTATTGGAAAATCGCCTAATGGAAGACATTGAAAAGAAAAAGAAATTACGCGATCTTGCGCCAAAAGAAACTGAACAACAGGTATTTACGTACATTTATTCATTAAGACAAAAATTAAAGTTCAAAATTGCTGATTTATTTTCAGATTTTCATAGCACTAAAGGCTCTTGGCAATATCGGAGTAGTTTCTAAACCATTTCGCGTTTTTCTTGATGGTGTAGTTGAAGATTCGACATTAGAAAATGGCATACGAGTTGCTGCAATCGAAGCTTACCGTCGTCTTCCTTGCAGTCAAGCTCGAAGTTTCTTTGAAAAAATTTTCGAAAACGAAGACGAGGACAGTGAAATTCGTATAGCTTCCTATCTCCAAGTTATGAGATGCCCCGATTACAAAACTATCCAAAACATTCACAACACGTTACAAAAAGAACAAGTCAATCAAGGTCAATAAAATTTATTTCTACTGTCTTTTGGGCTTTGAAAAAACAATAAAAAGTTGTCTATCTTTTAGTTGGATCTTTCGTATGGAGTCATTTGAATAACTTACTGAAATCTTCGATACTTAATCGATTGGAAATACAAGGGTTACTGTCCGATAAAGAACTCAAAAGAAAATTTAGCACAGATGTAAGGAAATTTTCTAGGAATTTCGAAGGGGCGTTATTTTTTGAGGAATTTAATTTTGGTAATTTTCACATCTCCGATACATATGAACGTACATATATGCATCTACAATGATTTTTAGGAGGCAACTACGAAAGTAATGTGATATTTTCACCCGCTTCATACATTCCTAGATCGATTATGTTGAATATGACCGTTGACTTATTTGGCGAATCAATTAATTTATTCGAGGTTTGTTTGTGAATAATCCTTATGACGATAATATATTTTAAACATTTAGGTCTATGGAAGAATTGNTAATTAATTTACTTTTTTTTTTTTGAAAGAAAAGTTTTTAATTTCCATTTTTTTGTAGAAAGTTTTAATGAATTACAATCAAACTTGTCCTGTTCATGCTATGTATATGAATTATTTAAGAAGTGATAAAAATAACAAATTTACCTATAAATTATACGTAGGTACATTTGATAATTGGTTAGTAAACAGCAATTTGTTCTGTTTATTTGTGTAATTTAGAATTTATTCATTAATGGATACAATCTATAACATTTGCTAAAATGTTTCTTAGAAATTAAGGGTTTACAGTTCAGGAATTACTTAGGATGTACATAATAAACTGTTTGATAATATAATTTGTTAGTAGAATATGTACTTAGATTTGCACTTTGTACCGGTTATCACTGATGTCGCTTGGGGTCAAAATAATCTTTAGTTAGTTAGTTTCACACTTTTCCAAGAGGAACATTTGTTCCAAAATGTGGCGAAGTGAAATGTGAAGTGTGTAACTTTTTCTTCTTGTGACAGTCTATTAGTTTTCAATATGAAATACATTATTATTTTGCCTTTATTCCTTACACTAGGAATTTACTCATACATATGCGAATATCAAAAGTATCTACTATTGGTTGTCTAAAATATTCTTTCACAGCACAACTCTGTATTGCTGACAGATTAACACCATGGAAGCACGTTTGAAACCTAAACAAGTCAATTATCACTTGCATTTACAATATTTGCACTTTATTTACCAAAAATTGGCTTTACTAAACTGTTCCATAAATAAAGCATCATCGGTAAATGGAGCAACATGTAAATCACCACGAGTTGGATACATTTTCCCCATAGGATTGAGCCATTTTTTTGCATGAAGATAAGTTTCTAACATTCTTTCATTGTATAACATGTAACCCATAGGTTCAGAAATGATTACATCTACCTTCTCAGGAAGGTCTACTTCTTCAATTTTACCTGGTATTACTTTAATCACATCCTCCAAATTATTAGCAGACACCAATTTCTACAAATAAGTTAATAAATAAATTCTGAATGGCATCAATAATATTTATTTACTTGTGCAAAATGGGCCATTGTAGATGCTTCAACTGCATAAATTCTTTTAGCTCCTGCTTGAGCGGCAAAAAAGGATAAAATACCAGAACCGGCACCAACATCCAACACTACTTTGTCCTTTAACATAATTGTATAAGAATTCACAAATATGAAGATATGAAATAGATTTACCTTAAAATCATTCAAATTGCTTAGTATAGCTCTTTGATACGTGTACGTTCTAACAAAATCTTGTAACATATTTTGCTGTTGGGAAAGGTAGCCATAAAACTGGAAATACTGATTAGCTGAAGTATCTTCAGTTCTGACTGAGAAAACAGAAGCCCCCTTTCCATTTTGAACTTTAGTTACAGATATCATAAAATTTCTAAAATCTAATTTGAAACATTGTATAAATGTAGAAGAAATTTTGCAAGCAATACTATACCATTTTCATTTTCAAATCTAAGATACATAGATTCTCCATCAATTGTAAAAACGTAAGCTCTTTTTCCAACTCGACAACATTCTGTACTTGAAGTAACCAAAAATTCATTAAGCACTGCATTTGTTTCTGAAACAAAATCCAAACTTCAAACAGCATGCTCTTCTTCTACTTATAGGTTTAAAGAAACGAAAACACAATATTCGCCATCTATAAGTGTCTGTTAAATTTCATTTCTACATGTTACAAAAAATTTAATGTGAAAATATTCACATAACCATTACCATCTTTACTACAAACAACAAAGATTTAACAAAAAAAAAAAGGAAAATAAAGACAACGGCATATTTTTACAACGTACCATCAAACATAATTATATTTAGCCCTTGAGGATCATATTCAACTTTCAACTTAACAGGTTTATTAAATTTAGAAGTTAAATCATTTCCCTGAGTAAAATTAAAAACCTCTACAAACCAACTATCAACCGCCATTTTTAACAACTGATCCATAGATCTATTCCATTAGTAAACTACCAGGGAAAGGGGTTCTCAAAGAATAATGATACACTTCAGCATATTAAAATGCAGATGCGTTCATTGTATATAAACGATTTTAATTTATCTAATGGTACCACTCAGGATCACTTAAGCTTTTTATTTGCTGCAATTTCTCAGATTAGTTAAATAGTCCTTTAACGACTTTAAAGAGCGTGTTNTTTGAATTACATTCAAATATTTTTTAGATCCCATGAAAGATCGAAAAATTTGTGGTCGTCCAACATGTAAAGGTAAAAAAATATTTTAATCTAAATTTCCAATCAATAGTTAAATTTTGAATTGTATTTACGATTTTATTTATTTAGCTAAGTATAGATACATATAATAAAATTGTAAATACCCATTTGGAAAAAAATGACAATTGGTTGGAGGGGGAGGGTTTGTTAAAGAATAAATGATAGAATTATAAAACCAAGAGAAATGTCAGTAATTTCTCCGATATTCGCTATAATAATTAGAGTCAATTGAATTTATTCATGATTTTAGGTCAACGAAAATTTAAATATTTACAAGGAAGCAGATATACATATGAATATACAACAGATGCGAAAACTTTTTCGGAAGACAGTGTTAACAGTAATAAATCAATAATTTCTGTAAAAGGCGAAGTTGGTATAGTTTTCATCACGGAATGCGATGCTCTGTTGGAGTTATCAAAATTTAAATTCAGCGATAAAGAGTTGTCAAAAGATTTAGAAAACGAGGATGATAATGCCAGTACCGAATTATTTTCTGAGGCACTTTCGAAAAACTCCTTAAGATTTTCGTTCAACGATGGCGTAATATCGGAGGTGTGTCCTGATGAAAGTGAGGAAAGCTGGGTTCTAAATTTTAAAAAAGGGATTTTGTCTATGATTTACAACGACATGCGCAGATTTGATTTGGATTATACCGGATTCGAAGATGATATTCACGGAAAATGCCAAGCATCTTACAAACTACAAAAAGCCCGCGATTCCATCTTAGTCGTTGAGAAAAGTAGAGATTTCTCATCCTGCCAAGGACGATCACAACTCCATTCCAGTTTACAATCTACTCCTTATTATCACAAAACAGTAAGAAAAAAATACAGATCTTAGGGGGTGTCGAAAAAAAAAAAAACAAATTTCAAGACAAATTGCAAAAGGCAAAAATATTGTTTCATTCAAATTGCTGAATTTGGACTTACATAAAAAACAAAAGTATTATCCAAAATTTAACAGTATCCTAAGGATAAAATTTGACAATTAAAATAGACGGTATCTATCTATGTAAAGTCAATTCTTGTTTACGTTGCAGAAACAACATCGTGCAAATTTATTAAAGTCATCTAGCACCTGTGAACTTGCTATAGACAACCGTATTTATGATAACATCAAATGCAAGGAAGTCCACATTTTCCAACCGTTTTCAAGTAAAACTGCATATGCTACAACGCTTGTCGAACAGAATTTGAATTTTGTTTCGGAATCAAAAGAAGAAATTAGCGTGGACGATCTAAGTCTCATAAATAGAAGGCAGACTTTGCTTTTCGATCATAAGACTACCGCTCGACTATCTTTAGACGGTTTGAAAACTGTTAGAAATCTAGTACAGACCCTCTGTAAATTGAACAGTCAAGATGTACAAACGGAATATGCCGAAACTTTTTCTACTTTGATTCGTCAAAGTAGAACCCTAAATTACGGAGGACTATCATCTCTGTTAAGACATGCAAACATTAGATGTCACAATGGAAAGTAAGAAATAAAAAATATATAATTTGGCTGTGGACAAAATTTAAAATATTTTTACAGGAAGTTTATCCTTGACGCTCTCCCATATTTAGGAAGTGACGCTGCTGTAGAAGTTATGAAGGATGTGGCATTAAAAAACGATATTTCTGATGATACTCTCAGATCGTGGATAGTAACTACAAGTTTTCTACCAAATCCTTCAACAACGATGCTTCGTGCAATGCATGAGGTATTGAATGCGAAAATTGACGATTCTGTTGTAGTTTTAGGGATTTCCGCACTTGTTCGCACATACTGTGTTCAAAATTCGAACTGTTTATTGAAAGAAACTCCCAACGACATCGTCAATTTATTGGAAAATCGCCTAATGGAAGACATTGAAAAGAAAAAGAAATTACGCGATCTTGCGCCAAAAGAAACTGAACAACAGGTATTTACGTACATTTATTCATTAAGACAAAAATTAAAGTTCAAAATTGCTGATTTATTTTCAGATTTTCATAGCACTAAAGGCTCTTGGCAATATCGGAGTAGTTTCTAAACCATTTCGCGTTTTTCTTGATGGTGTAGTTGAAGATTCGACATTAGAAAATGGCATACGAGTTGCTGCAATCGAAGCTTACCGTCGTCTTCCTTGCAGTCAAGCTCGAAGTTTCTTTGAAAAAATTTTCGAAAACGAAGACGAGGACAGTGAAATTCGTATAGCTTCCTATCTCCAAGTTATGAGATGCCCCGATTACAAAACTATCCAAAACATTCACAACACGTTACAAAAAGAACAAGTCAATCAAGGTCAATAAAATTTATTTCTACTGTCTTTTGGGCTTTGAAAAAACAATAAAAAGTTGTCTATCTTTTAGTTGGATCTTTCGTATGGAGTCATTTGAATAACTTACTGAAATCTTCGATACTTAATCGATTGGAAATACAAGGGTTACTGTCCGATAAAGAACTCAAAAGAAAATTTAGCACAGATGTAAGGAAATTTTCTAGGAATTTCGAAGGGGCGTTATTTTTTGAGGAATTTAATTTTGGTAATTTTCACATCTCCGATACATATGAACGTACATATATGCATCTACAATGATTTTTAGGAGGCAACTACGAAAGTAATGTGATATTTTCACCCGCTTCATACATTCCTAGATCGATTATGTTGAATATGACCGTTGACTTATTTGGCGAATCAATTAATTTATTCGAGGTTTGTTTGTGAATAATCCTTATGACGATAATATATTTTAAACATTTAGGTCTATGGAAGAATTGAAGGCTTCGAGCGTTTCGTGGAAAATCTGTTTGGAAACAAGGGTGATTTCAGTTACGAAAATATGAAAGAGAAAATGCCGAAAATAAGATGGCCCAGAGCTATTTCTAATTCTAACGCGCTTACCAATGAAATTAACGATTTTGATTATAAATTAAAAAACAACTTTAACAATCCGAAGGTAACCCTTTAACGATTCGTTAATTACAAAATATATTTAATACGAAATAATTTTTTGTTGAAGTTTTCAACTGGATTTAAAATATTCGGGAATGACATGAGGTTTGAGACGTTCAGCGGCGAAGACGAAATCAAATCTTCGCTTAAAAAATTTAACATTTTGAACTATCTGAAGCAAATACTCTCTGGAAAAGTAAGCGTTTCATTTTTATTTACTAGACTTTTTTGTATAAGTATAGAAAAAATATGATGTGGTTAATCTCCTAAATTTTTTGAGTTATTTCTTGTTAGTTCACGAAACTTTTTATGTCCTCTATATAGGAAATCAACATCAGTAAGTCGGCTTTATTCATGGACACCAGTTATGTGGTGCCGACAGGATCAGGATTCCCACTGTCCTTGAATATCCTAGGCACTGCGTCGTTTAATTTAAAAATGTTCGGTTCCCTAAAAGTTTCAAATCACGCGGATGGTAAAGAATTCGACTTGTTCGGAAGCATAAAACCAAATATGGCGGTAAACATAGTCGGTACAATGTCTGTCGATGGAATTTATGGAGTATCAGGAATCAAACTGAAAAGCAACGTATATTCGTCGAGTTCTGCTGAAGGATCAATCAAGATTAAAGGAAACCGTTTCGTTAGCGTTAAAATGAGCCTCCCTCAACAAACTAACGAAATATTTGGTGCTGAGTACGTTACAATCATTCCCTCTTTAAAGGCACGATTAGAAGAGAGTGCGATGTTTGGGTTTGATGGTCGTGGACCAGGATTTGCTCTCTCCAATCGGTGACTTTGCTGATGGAGTCGCGTAGCTACACAAAATTTTACTACCAGTTTCTTTGGTGTAGAATCCTGGATCACGACTATCGATTTCGGCCGAGGGCGGCCAGAGTGGGTGAAAAGGAAGGAAAACTATATGCAGTTTCACTATTCGCAGGAAAATTCTGAACATTCAGGGCCTCATGCGTAACATCTTATAGTGCCTCTTTTGAACAAAAAACAATAAAAAACGAACTAAATTTACAAGAAATACATGACTGGAAAACGGGGCCACTTGAGGAGCCGTATTAGTTGAGGGTCAGATGTGAACCGTATCGCATTACACCCTCTTCTAGTTAACCTACTGTAAAGAGCGAAATTTTACGCATCCAAATTTGAAAAGTTGCTGAAATTTTCAATCAATTCGTTCAATTTCGCAAAGATACATTTTCGTCACCTTATGACACCCAACCACACATTTAAAATCGACTTGAATACAGAATTGATATGAAAATATGAATATTCCTGTAATTCTAGAACAGCCCTACGTTTGCTTTCAAACAAAAGATATGAGGTCAACCTAATTTACAAAGTTTGTAATTTTCAAGTAAATTTGATTGTATCAATAAATTACATTCCATAATTCTTCCCTTGAGTTAACAGAACAATACGTGCCAAATAAGGAATGAAAAGATTTTTTATTTTAAAAAACAACCAACGTTTCGCCTCAGATTAGAGACTTTATCAAGGTATTTTTAAAAATATAAAATATCGAATATCGTTGGTTGTTTTTTAAAATAAAAATTTTTTTCACTCCCTATTTGGCACGTATTATTTTGTTAAATTTAATAATCGCCTAGCCCAAACATCGAACTCTCTCCAAACAACATCTTCATAGACTTTTCATGAAAAATAATTAATCAATTAATTTAAACGTGCAGGTCTCAGCTATTTCTAGTCAAAGGTGATCGGGACGTAAGTTTGGTAACTGATGAGAGCAACATGATAACGAAAACGACTTGTTCTTGGCCCACAATAGACAAAACAGTCGGATTGAAGCTGTGCGCCCATATCCATTTTGCAAACGTTACAAAAGCGGAAGGAAATTCTTACTTTTCGTTGGCAGGGCCCGCAGGCGTTCGTATTTCTCTCCATAAGAGCGACACGTCAATCAAAACGTACTCTTTAGAGTATTCTTGGAAAGACAATGACGACAAACGTGAAATTTCAATTGTGTTTGATACACCGGGCTCCTCAGTCGAACGAATGATAAGTGCTCATTTGATATCAGATTCGCAAACATTTAATTCCAGTCTTCGTATACAATCACCCTCTGGACATGTGTATGCTCAAGGAAACTTTAGAAATTCGAAACTGTTTCAATATTTTCAAGCGTCTTTAGATATCGACGATAAAAAACATTTCCTAGCCTCCTTGTCTTTAGAACAACAAGATAGCACACATGGAGTCATATTTTTACCGAAATTTTACTTGGAAGTTAACACCGAAAGAGTTGCCGAACTGTTTGGTAAGCACTTTTTGATACACCGCTTGAAATGCACCAAAAATATCTACTATCCCTTCTTGAATCTAAAATTTGTTAGCCAAAAAATCTTAAGATGTTGCATTTATAGTAACGAAGAAGAAAAATTAATAAATATATTTTTGATTTGATATCCATAATTAAACAATTATACTATGCGTCTTTTGGTGGTTTCAGGAACGTTTAAAAGGATCGAAAAGAATGGCGTTTCACAATGCGACGTGGACCTTAAATTTCAAACGAAACGGCTGACATCTAAACTTTTCGGATATATTACTCAAATGGAACATTCGATTGGAACAAATCTGAAACTAGATTACAAATTTGCCCAAACACAAGAACAAAGAGTAAGACTTGAGTATATGATAGAGAATCGTTCAACCCGTTACGTCTACGCGTATACGGGAAACTTAAAATTTGAGACAACTGCTTATCCCCAATTTAACATGGACATTGATTTAAAATATCAGGTAAATAATATCTAGGCTAATGAATCAACCAAAAAGAAAACGTGAAGTGAACAAATTCTTTAGTATAGCTAACTCTATTTATTGGCAGATATTGCATATAAACAATTTATTTTGCTTAGTATCGATCGCAACCTGCGGTACTCACACTTATGTAGATTTGTAAAGAGATTTTAAAAATTACTGAGTTGATTTCTATCAAACATATTTAAAAAATCGAAATCGGATTCCCAAATGACTTTTTACATACATACACGCGAAAATAGATACATAGCGCTTGTCGTTTTGGCGTAGGGGATCAAAAAAATCTTATTTTAGATCGGATCTCATCGTATGGAAGGTAAACTGGAGTTGAAAACAAATCCACCGGCTGACGAGGGAACAGATGTCGATTTTAACAGGTTATCAATATTAGCCAAAGTTGTTCAAAGGACGCATCAGGACGAAATGATCTTTTCTACTGTTTTCTCAGTAAAGAAACCAGCGAGCAACCTGAATCTAAGTTTTGACTTATCTTACGAATCAAAGGGTCCGTACAGAGATATCTTTACTCTTATAAAGTACGCGGAAGATAAGCAAGTAACCGTATCGGTTTTCTGGTTTCGTCCTAGAGGAACATTCGAACATATGGAAGGAAGGGTTAATGTGACAATACCCGGTTTCGAACCGATGCTTCTAGAAGGAAAACTAAACGAGAAATTAGAACTAGACTATGACGTAAGAAAAGAAAAATAAAATAATAAAACATCTAGTGATAAAGGTAATAAATATGTTAATAAAATTTGTTACAGATTGAATTAAGCGGAACCTGGTTCAGTGGTCACAATTTTACGTCAGTAGGTGTTTATCAGGACAAAAGTTCATCAAAAACTTTCAATCATCGATTAAAATTTCTCATTAAATCTCCAAGTTTCCGCGATATTCACGCTGATTGCCATTTCTACAGAGACAACAGTCAAATCGAAGTCAATCTTCAGGTGAGTTAGTTACGACGTTCTTACGTTGTAATATCAACGATGCGACCCCTTCTTTAGGGTATCTAACAGGGGAAGTATAAAAGGTTTCGTACCTACATAACTACTTCAAAACTAATAAAATGAGAAATAATTTTAATTGAACGTAATCGTTAAAATCGTAGGGGTTGGTTTTGTTTGGAAGTATGTTAGGAAAGGGGGGGGGGTGACTTATTTTTATTATTTAACTGGCTTATCCCGGCGACTTTGCTTTCTAATTGTTTATAATAAATGCAATTTAAAAAATTAGCTTAAATCACGACTAAGGGGCCATGCATAAATTACGTCACACGAATTTCACGATTTTTTAACCCCTCCCCCGTCCTTGTCACAGCTGGTCACACTTGTGGGACTCCCCCCCTTCCTAATGTGACGTTACATATTTTGAAATTTTTACATCTAGAAATTATTGAATAGTGTTTTAAAACATAGATTTTGAAAATTTTGAAATGTGACGTCACGAAATTTAGGACCCCTCCCACTCCCTTGTCACACAATGTCACACTTCGTCGACCCCCCTTCCCCCTTAACGTTTGACGTATTCTATGGATAGCCCCTAATAAGCTATTTTTTATGTACATATAAAGACCCACTGAAATCGGTTTCAAAGATTGGTCTCAACTGACAGACAGACAGACAAAAATATTTTAAGGGTCGATGACAAATACTATTACGTATACAACATATTTGGTACGAATAGTATACTTAAAAAAATAAAATATACTCTGAGAAATTCAACCAAAAAGAGACTTACCCTAATATGGGTACTATCCACGCTAGATTGCGTTTAATTAGTCATTTACCATAGTCTCCAATTTCTACTTCACTCTGAGAAATGTTTAAAGGATTGTATGAAAAAAGAGATAAAACGAAGATGCAAGGGTGAACCGCGGAAAAAGTTACGTCCCTGTATAGCTAGTTAAAAAGATCATGGGGTTTCAAATACCTTATTACATTACGAAAACATTGTACAACCAGGCATGGAATAGTGACGCCGAATGCTTTTAGAGTGTATAAATGTAGAAATCGGGAGGAATTTTGTCAATGGATTACTCAAAGTCATGAGATTCTAAACTGCCTCTAGTATTAGATTGATTACAAAATTGAAATTTTTGCAGGCTGATCAAAATCTTCAAGAATACGCTCTATTCTTCAAGAACTCTGTTAGTTCTAACAATCTTACATTAACCCAATTCAAGATAAGGTATCAAAATCGAATCTACAGCGTAACAAGCTCACTAAATTTGAAAGAACATGAAAAACAGCTTATGGTCGAACTACATTTGGACGAGTAAATAAAAATTAATCGTTTTTTTTTATATATTAGATGCAATTTAAGTAATGTATTTTCTTAGATACAGAGATATACACTTCTCGGTTTGGGGAAAGAATCAGAACAATTTTAAATCTGTCTCAGCAGGAATGGAAATAAAATGGGACGCAAATCGAGATCCAAATCAAAAACTTTCATTTCTACTTGACTTCTTAAATCCACAAATATACGATTATTCCGCAAATTTAGTATTATCTTATCCTGGTCGATCATTTAACGGAGTATCTCACTTTTTTTTACAAGGTAATTATTTCTTACATACACAAGTATATAGGGTTGTTCGGAAAGTCATTTCGTTTTATCCCGACAGAGGATTTAATTGTATTCTTTTGCACCCAACTTCACATTTAAGCCGTATAATTTTTATATGCTTTGACAGTTCATATAGCAAGGCTTGTGTGTGAAAAATTCCAATTAATTCNAATTAAAAATTATATTGTAGAGAAGATTATAACAAGAAAGTTATTAAATTTGTTTGGGATTTGTCCATAATAATCAAAGTTTATCACCATTTTCACGAAAAACCAATAAAAGCAGTAGAGAGACATGCTTATTTATGGGTTGCTTTACATCCAAATCCCTTTGATAATATAATATGTGTATGATACTATTATAAATCTTGTTTAATTCAATAGTTTGTCGAAAACCAGAAATGTAATTTGTACAAAGAAAGGATCACAAGAATGTAACTGAAAATTCATTTCGAGAATTGTCGGCAAATTAAATTGTTCTATCAGAATTTTCATTATAAAGTTTTAATGCAATATAAAGACACACATATTTCCGCTTAAATATTTAATATAATGGAATATACAACATGATAACATACAAATTGTGTTAATAAAATCTTATTCTAAATAAAGATCACATTCTTATTAAATTACTTCTACTGGGTTTGAAAATTAAAACCCTTAGACAATTAAAAGTTTAAAACTTTAATTCGAGTAAGAATTATTAGAGAAGATGCACTTCTTAATATATGTATAGAATCAAGAAAAAAAAGGCGGGAAAAAATAGGTCTCCCTATGTACTGTAATGGATGCAATAACAAGAAAATTCCCTTAATAGAATTTTATTGTCCCTAATAGAGGTCGACTGCCTGTCAACTTCCTTCTTTACTCCTATAAGTCCTTTAAAGATCAAATTATTTACGTGTACACGCAATAGATTTGATTTAATGTAAAATTACAATTTGCCCTTTTATATTCAACTTTATTAGGATTTTCATTAAAAAGTACCTATTAATATATGGGTACAGTAGTTAAGTATATGCAGTGCATGGATGTGATACAAGAAAATTCCGCTAATAAAATTTTATTGTCCTTGATACAGATATGCATAATGTCCGTTTATTCCCCTGATTTCCTTTCGGAGTCCTTTGAACATCAAATTAACATGTCCGTCATCATTATGCACAAAATCTTGTTTAACATAATGGCCTATTCTGCAATTTATTATTTGTGAGAATTGAATTGGAATTAATGTCAATTTTCATTATATGTAGGAATCTTCTTCGATTTCTTTTCGTTAGAAAGATGAAAATCATTTATTATTGCACAACATAAGAATTTGTGATGTATCTACTGCGTAATAAAAATAGTTTAAATGTTATGGGTACTTATCGAGTAATGACGATGATAATATCTGCTAGGATAAACAATATAGGACTATGCATTTTGCAGCAATGGCAAAACTTTTGAATAACATTCAAATATTTTTTAGATCCCATGAAAGATCGAAAAATTTGTGGTCGTCCAACATGTAAAGGTAAAAAAATATTTTAATCTAAATTTCCAATCAATAGTTAAATTTTGAATTGTATTTACGATTTTATTTATTTAGCTAAGTATAGATACATATAATAAAATTGTAAATACCCATTTGGAAAAAAATGACAATTGGTTGGAGGGGGAGGGTTTGTTAAAGAATAAATGATAGAATTATAAAACCAAGAGAAATGTCAGTAATTTCTCCGATATTCGCTATAATAATTAGAGTCAATTGAATTTATTCATGATTTTAGGTCAACGAAAATTTAAATATTTACAAGGAAGCAGATATACATATGAATATACAACAGATGCGAAAACTTTTTCGGAAGACAGTGTTAACAGTAATAAATCAATAATTTCTGTAAAAGGCGAAGTTGGTATAGTTTTCATCACGGAATGCGATGCTCTGTTGGAGTTATCAAAATTTAAATTCAGCGATAAAGAGTTGTCAAAAGATTTAGAAAACGAGGATGATAATGCCAGTACCGAATTATTTTCTGAGGCACTTTCGAAAAACTCCTTAAGATTTTCGTTCAACGATGGCGTAATATCGGAGGTGTGTCCTGATGAAAGTGAGGAAAGCTGGGTTCTAAATTTTAAAAAAGGGATTTTGTCTATGATTTACAACGACATGCGCAGATTTGATTTGGATTATACCGGATTCGAAGATGATATTCACGGAAAATGCCAAGCATCTTACAAACTACAAAAAGCCCGCGATTCCATCTTAGTCGTTGAGAAAAGTAGAGATTTCTCATCCTGCCAAGGACGATCACAACTCCATTCCAGTTTACAATCTACTCCTTATTATCACAAAACAGTAAGAAAAAAATACAGATCTTAGGGGGTGTCGAAAAAAAAAAAAACAAATTTCAAGACAAATTGCAAAAGGCAAAAATATTGTTTCATTCAAATTGCTGAATTTGGACTTACATAAAAAACAAAAGTATTATCCAAAATTTAACAGTATCCTAAGGATAAAATTTGACAATTAAAATAGACGGTATCTATCTATGTAAAGTCAATTCTTGTTTACGTTGCAGAAACAACATCGTGCAAATTTATTAAAGTCATCTAGCACCTGTGAACTTGCTATAGACAACCGTATTTATGATAACATCAAATGCAAGGAAGTCCACATTTTCCAACCGTTTTCAAGTAAAACTGCATATGCTACAACGCTTGTCGAACAGAATTTGAATTTTGTTTCGGAATCAAAAGAAGAAATTAGCGTGGACGATCTAAGTCTCATAAATAGAAGGCAGACTTTGCTTTTCGATCATAAGACTACCGCTCGACTATCTTTAGACGGTTTGAAAACTGTTAGAAATCTAGTACAGACCCTCTGTAAATTGAACAGTCAAGATGTACAAACGGAATATGCCGAAACTTTTTCTACTTTGATTCGTCAAAGTAGAACCCTAAATTACGGAGGACTATCATCTCTGTTAAGACATGCAAACATTAGATGTCACAATGGAAAGTAAGAAATAAAAAATATATAATTTGGCTGTGGACAAAATTTAAAATATTTTTACAGGAAGTTTATCCTTGACGCTCTCCCATATTTAGGAAGTGACGCTGCTGTAGAAGTTATGAAGGATGTGGCATTAAAAAACGATATTTCTGATGATACTCTCAGATCGTGGATAGTAACTACAAGTTTTCTACCAAATCCTTCAACAACGATGCTTCGTGCAATGCATGAGGTATTGAATGCGAAAATTGACGATTCTGTTGTAGTTTTAGGGATTTCCGCACTTGTTCGCACATACTGTGTTCAAAATTCGAACTGTTTATTGAAAGAAACTCCCAACGACATCGTCAATTTATTGGAAAATCGCCTAATGGAAGACATTGAAAAGAAAAAGAAATTACGCGATCTTGCGCCAAAAGAAACTGAACAACAGGTATTTACGTACATTTATTCATTAAGACAAAAATTAAAGTTCAAAATTGCTGATTTATTTTCAGATTTTCATAGCACTAAAGGCTCTTGGCAATATCGGAGTAGTTTCTAAACCATTTCGCGTTTTTCTTGATGGTGTAGTTGAAGATTCGACATTAGAAAATGGCATACGAGTTGCTGCAATCGAAGCTTACCGTCGTCTTCCTTGCAGTCAAGCTCGAAGTTTCTTTGAAAAAATTTTCGAAAACGAAGACGAGGACAGTGAAATTCGTATAGCTTCCTATCTCCAAGTTATGAGATGCCCCGATTACAAAACTATCCAAAACATTCACAACACGTTACAAAAAGAACAAGTCAATCAAGGTCAATAAAATTTATTTCTACTGTCTTTTGGGCTTTGAAAAAACAATAAAAAGTTGTCTATCTTTTAGTTGGATCTTTCGTATGGAGTCATTTGAATAACTTACTGAAATCTTCGATACTTAATCGATTGGAAATACAAGGGTTACTGTCCGATAAAGAACTCAAAAGAAAATTTAGCACAGATGTAAGGAAATTTTCTAGGAATTTCGAAGGGGCGTTATTTTTTGAGGAATTTAATTTTGGTAATTTTCACATCTCCGATACATATGAACGTACATATATGCATCTACAATGATTTTTAGGAGGCAACTACGAAAGTAATGTGATATTTTCACCCGCTTCATACATTCCTAGATCGATTATGTTGAATATGACCGTTGACTTATTTGGCGAATCAATTAATTTATTCGAGGTTTGTTTGTGAATAATCCTTATGACGATAATATATTTTAAACATTTAGGTCTATGGAAGAATTGAAGGCTTCGAGCGTTTCGTGGAAAATCTGTTTGGAAACAAGGGTGATTTCAGTTACGAAAATATGAAAGAGAAAATGCCGAAAATAAGATGGCCCAGAGCTATTTCTAATTCTAACGCGCTTACCAATGAAATTAACGATTTTGATTATAAATTAAAAAACAACTTTAACAATCCGAAGGTAACCCTTTAACGATTCGTTAATTACAAAATATATTTAATACGAAATAATTTTTTGTTGAAGTTTTCAACTGGATTTAAAATATTCGGGAATGACATGAGGTTTGAGACGTTCAGCGGCGAAGACGAAATCAAATCTTCGCTTAAAAAATTTAACATTTTGAACTATCTGAAGCAAATACTCTCTGGAAAA